CCAGTATTTCACAGGGTTAATTACTTTGATTCTTTGCGATCTTGCTACGGCACGGAAAGTGCAAAACGCGTTCCAGCCTGGGTTTAGAGTAAGCCACAGTAAAGACGCCGGCAAGACTGTAGATGGCTCCCTCTTTCAACAGTCTCTTTTCTAACAGTGGCGGATTTGATTCGCCGATATGCACCAGAACCAATTTACCAACGAAACAGATAAAGAAACTGAAAAGTTCTTTGTTTTCTCATAGGAATAGTGGGGCGTTGGGGATTCAGTCTAGTTGATTTTGCTTGACTATTTGCAATCATACAAAGTTCGCCACTAAGTAGGGTAATAATCGCATAAAAGCGACTTCACACAAGAATCTTCATTAGCCCTTAAGGCTTAAGGCTTAATCTGATCTAACTTCACTAATATATCGAGGGATCCACCGCAGCACCCCAAGCACTTTTTAAACGATACTGGAAAAGCGATGAGAAATAAATCAAAACGCGAACGGTCTGTCTTAAGACACCAAAAGGCGAAGGGCTGTTTTTACCTTGGTTGGTGTATGTTCGAAGTAATCCATGATGATGAAAACACGGTCCTTCTCACGGTAGGCGGCATGCATTCGCATTATGTTGTGCGCACCACCGCATCGTTGCATTATGCGCAGCTCGGTGGCTATGTATTTTGGGGCACTGTTCCGTGCAAGCTCTTTCAACGCATAGTACGTTCCTGGACGACGGCGACTGGCAATGTGATAAACATTACCGTAGGAACCTGAGAAAATATCATCATTTACTGGAAGAAGCGGAAAAACATAAATGCTCTAGCCCGTCAAATATTTCCTCGCCTGGTCCAGCAATAAGGGTGAAGTGATGATGATGCTCAACACATACACATCAAAGGCATTTCGAAGCTTCTAATGCCCTGCCAAGGGATATTGCCGGAAGCAACGCCGATTTGCAAATTCATTTGGGAGACGAAACAAACGTCAAGAGCGAGCCGACCATCAGGTGGTGATGAAGCAGCGGTCAAAGCAAGAAGTAGGAAGGAGAATGGACGAGAAAATAATATTAAGAAATTAGTAAAAGAAGTAAAATTATTTTGATGGAATTATTATAATTCAGTGGTAAGAAATGTTTCGGTCCATTAAGACGTATACATTTCTTCCGATCACCACAATTGGACCTCGTCAGTGCTGCCGCACGAACGCTACCGCCAACAGAGAATAGCTTGAAATTTGTTCATGTAAAAATTTCAAATGATGCAGCGGCACACATAAGCCAAGCT